TGACCGTTGAAACAATTAACTCCAAGAAACAGAGAGTATTGGAGTTGATGATGACATGGAATGAGAACTTTGCTTAAAGTTAAAGCGTCTCTCTATTTTTGGATTAACTATGCAATTTAATATTTATTTTAGTCAATTATTATTATTTTTACAGTTTTGAATTAGTCGTGTTATTGATTTTTTATTTGCTTTCTCTAATAGGATGAAATTCCCAGAGTCGAGCTACATTGGTAAAAGTCGCAAGAAAATGAGAAGAAATCGTAAGTTTTGAACATGTATTTGGAAAAATGAGAAAGAAGAAAATTTGAAGAAGAAACAATGTGATGTAAAGTTACAATAAGTAGTGAAGTAAAAGTTACAACGCTCCAAATTTAAAGAAGCAAAATAAGAAGCTAACGCGCACGATATACAAACATATTCCATTGGATTCGGTTAGGTTTGTTATTAGGTGTGTGTTTGTCTCTCATTATTGAAGAAATTAAGTAATGAATAGTACTTTATTGGTTTTTATGTGGAATATTTTATTGAATAGATTGGGATGCATCCCCAATCTATGTGGCGTTAATGTGACATTAAATGATAGGTAAAATTAAATAAGTCATTTAATTTCACCTATTCATCCCCAGTGGGAATGCATCTCCAGACTATGTGGATATAAATGATTGGTTAAATGATAGGTGAAATTAAATGACTTATTTAATTTTACCTATCATTTAATGTCACATTAACGCCACATAGATTTGGGATGCATCCCCAGTGGGGTGAATGTGTGGTAGAAAATTATATTGTAGCAAAGAATGTTTTGGAATAATGAGAGACAAATTGGGCTTAAGACAGACACGAGTCTTTTGTATTGCCCTATACATTTATTTGCAAATTTTGTTTATAGACATTTATTAACCAGTTGTACTACATGTACATAGCAACTAATATAATAGTTTACCAATAGATGGTATGACGAGTTTTAATTGGATCAAAATCTCATCAATCAAACAACTTACTTATTTACATTTTGACATCCCATCATTATGTAAAATATCATGTAATTAATTATGTACAATAAGTATTTTCCGTTACCGACTTCCAATAGGTGAAAAAGATTATGTATATATAGAGATACACTGTAGAAAAGTGATCCAATAGGTGGAAAAGAGTATGGGGCTTTCAAATAGGGTTGTGCTATGTGTACACAATGGTATACATAATGCATTACACCTCTCTCACATAGAGGGGGGTTCGCACATATTTTTTATTGTGCGGGCCCCCCCTCCATTGAGGGGAGAGTAATGCATTGTGTACATCATTGGGTGTACACATATCATTATTCTTTCAAATAAAGTGGTGATCAACATCAAGCAAATTAATGGTCCCATGTTATGTCGCATCAATTGTCAATTTCTTGTGATGCCATTCAATCTAACCAATGGGAATGGGATGTCGCACATGCCGTTCAGCGAAAAAGGAAGACAATTTATCTTTGGAATAAGTGTTTTGCTCCAAGTACATGAGCAAAACCTACAGATGCCTGTCAGATTACTCACACTGGAGGGCCCTACATGTTTAAAAAAAGGGTTTTGTTAGATGTACACTCAATACATTACCTAATGAATTCCATCCTCCTCATATGAAGGGGGCCTAGGCTTGTCAAGATGGGAGGGTCGCCCAGGCCCACCCGGAGGTGAATCGGCCCTCGATTCGGCCCACGAACCCTGTGGGCCGAATCGTGGGCTGCCCACACCTTGAACCGGTCTGGACCGATTGCTTTGAAAATAAAAATAAGCTGCAGCCTGCAGCGTTTAGACTTTAGAGTGGTCACAAGACCATTCTGAATTTTTTTTTTTTGTTAACGGTAAATTTTTTTTTGGAATAACTTGTGGAATTGTGAAGTGAAAAAATGGCAAACTCTCACAATCTACAAACTTTAAATCTCTATATTCTCGTTCTCTCTTGATATTTTCAGCAATTATTTTTCATTTTTAGTATTTTG